AGCAAATGTGTATGAACTGTAAATTTCAGTAAAAGTTCATATAAATATTCAATTCTATATATATATGTATACAATACTATATATATATATATATATATATATATATATATATATATATATATATATATATATATATATATATATATATATATATATATATATAATATATATATATATATATATATATATATATATATATATATACATACATATATATATATATATATATATATATATATATATATATATATATATAAATATATATATATATATATATATATATATATATATATATATATATATGTATATATATATATATATATATATATATATATATATATGTATATATAAATATATATATATAAATATGTATGCATATATATATATATATATATATATATATAATATATATATATATATATATATATATATATATATATATATATATATATATATATATATATATATATATATATATATATATATATATATATATATATATATATATATATATATATATATATATATATATATATATATATATATATATATATATATATAGGAAAAAGTTTTACATTAACATTAAGACCATATTCTTCAATATATTATTGCAGAACGCTTAGTCTTATTCGAATTAACATTTAGCCATTGTTTTTGATTTCAATCTTGACTTACCAGTGAGAGCGTCAGAGACCCAATAGAACACTGTCGCGGAATCTGTGAAAACAGTCACTTTTTTTAGTTTTCTAGTCAAAGCCATGTTCATTCCTCGCATTACATTTCTTTTCTTAGCCATGTTGCATCTTCTACAGTAATTTTACCAATTTGAATAACATCACCAATTGTCAAAGAACTACACACTACCCTAATCACTATGTACAGCTCAATCACCATTCGCACTTTTTCACCTCATCATAAACTTCTTGAAGTACACAGTTCAAACTTTCATCGCAAATTTCATCGCCCCAACCCTTCGTTAAACTAACCACTCGTTTTTTTAAAAGGCTTCAAACTACAGGTAACCAACCACAGACTGGCAAGTGACCTACCAACTAGTCACAAATGGAAAACACTACTTTTCTGTTTAATTTTTTCGGAATTGCATCAACTCGGTTTTCTCTGGACCACATCAACTTGCCACCAACCTTGTACACACGTAATCCCAATATACGAACCCCATTACAATCTTTTCAACTTCCTTACTCACCAAACCATATTTTTCGAAATAATATATGCCGTAATCAAGACGTAATCATCTTGTTTTACAGTTTATGTACAAAATAAAAATGGACTATCTCCGCCGATATTCCGCCGATATTTGAATCTCTCGCGTTTAATTTTTTCGAAAAAGAATTTTTTTCCCAGGACGAAAACTCAGATCCCGACAATAATTTTTATTGTGAGACTTTTTCAGATTGTTCGTATATTTTTCCAAGCGAACTAGAAGAGTATCTTTTTAAGAATGTTATTGACAAAAATTCGAATCAAATTAGAATTTTCCACCTCAATATAAGAAGTCTAAATAGTAACTTTGAAAAACTTTTAAATCTAATAGAAGAAACAAAAAACCTTTTTAAAATAATATGCTTAACAGAAACGTGGATTACATCAAAAGATCTAAACAGTCATTTTCATATTCCGCATTTTAATATTATTTCTTTGAAGAGACAAATAAATAAACGAGGTGGTGGAGTACTAATTTATGCGCACGAAACACTTAGGCTTGTTTTTAGAGGCGATTTGAGCATTTCTGATAGCGAAAATAAAGTCTTAACAATTGAAATTGAAAGCAACCAAACAAAAAACTTATTAATTAGCTGTTGTTATCGGTCACCTGCTGGCATGAGTGAAAACCTTAGCATGTTTTTGCATAACGTCATTAAAAAAGGCGATACCGAAAAGAAAAAAAATATTTTGCTTGGGGATTTTAATAAGAATTGCTTTCTTTATAACAATGACTATAAAGTAAAAAGTTTTTATGACACATTTTTTGAAACCGGATCAATCCCCCTCATTAATCGCCCTACCAGAGTAACTATAAACTCAGCGACTTTAATCGATAATATTATTTCAACTGATATTTTCAATAAGGGTATAAAAAACTGATATACAAAAGGGTATATTAAAAACTGATATAACGGAACATTTTCCCATTTTTGTAACAATTGATGCATATACAGCAAAAAACAATGACAACAAAAAAGTATTGAAGAAACGTATCATTAATCAAAATAACCTTAATTTATTCAAAGACCAACTATCCTTACTCCATTGGAATAATATTAACATAAACAATAATGCAAACGACATATATGAAACTTTCTTCAAAACTTTCTATTCTGTATACGACGCTAACTTTCCCGTAGTTGAAATAATAGCAAAACCTAAGAGTTTGAATTCTCCTTGGATTACCAAGGGGTTTAAAAAATCTTCCAAAATCAAACAAAAGTTATATATAAATTTTCTAAAAACAAAAACAACTGCAAACGAAAAAATTTACAAAAACTAAAAATATTTATTTGAGAAAATTCGTAAAAACTTAAAAAATATATATTACTCGGAATTACTTAACAAATTCAAATATAACACCAAGCGCATTTGGGAAAAAATGAAGGAAATTATAGGAAAGCAAAAATCATGCTTTGGTTTTTTGCCACAAATGATTAAAATAGAAAACACTAGCATATTTGGACCAAACGCTATATCACATGAATTTAATAAATTTTTTACTGAAATAAGTCCTAAACTATCAAATAAGATTCCTATTACAAGAACTTTGTTTAGTGACTTTTTATTACCCTTGGAGAAGTGCATATGCTCTGATGAGCTATCCTCTGATTTATCAATTGAAGAACTTGAAAAGGCGCTCAAATCTATTAAAAAGAATAAATCATGTGGACCAGACGAAATAGATGGAAATGTGATAATAGATTGCTTTAAGCAACTAAAAGATGTTCTTTTCAAAGTTTTTAATGCCTCAATTAAACAAGGAATCTTTCCAGAACAATTAAAAATTGCCAAAGTTACACCTATTTATAAAGCTGGTGACCAATCCCAAATAACTAATTATCGCCCCATCACTGTGCTCTCTGTATTTTCAAAAATCCTAGAAAGAATAATGTACAACAGAATATATAACCACTTTGACAAGAATAACCTACTCTATGTTAATCAATTTGGTTTTAAAAAGGATAGCTCAACAGAGCATGCAATTATCCAACTTGTAAATGAAATTTCAAAATCGTTTGAACAATCAAAATATACATTAGGTAAGTTTATCGACCTATTGAAGGCCTTCGATACGGTTGACCATCACATCCTACTCAAAAAACTGAAATACTATGGAGTAAATAACCAAGCGTTAAGGTGGTTCAGAAGTTACTTAACAAATAGAAAACAATTTGTTGTTGGTAATGACAACTATCACAACAGTTGTTTAAGTATAACCTGTGGAGTTCCACAAGGTTCAATCCTCGGACCTCTCCTTTTTTTAATTTATATAAACGATTTAAATAAAGCAACTAATCTGATGAGCATCATGTTTGCTGATGATACTAATTTATTCATCTCTAAGAGCGATATTAGCGAACTTTTTTCCACAGTGAATAAAGAACTTAAACTTTTATCCCACTGGTTCAAATCCAACAAATTAACTTTAAATACTGACAAAACTAAATGGACTCTTTTTCATTCGAATAGGAAAAAAAAAAATTTTACCCTTAAACTTGCCTCCAACCTTTATTGATGAAATTGAAATAAAAAGAGACTCCGTTATTAAATTTTTAGGTGTTTATCTCCATGAGAACATTAATTGGAATCAACATATTAACTATATATCCACTAAAGTCTCTAAAAACATTGGAGTCTTGTACAAAGCTCGAACTTATCTCAATAAGAAACACTTAAGGCAACTTTATTTCTCATTTATTCACTGCTACATAAACTACGCTAATATTGCCTGGGGAAGTACTGAAAAAAGTAAATTACTTCGTCTTTATCGCTGTCAGAAACGAGCAATTCGCATAATTAACTTTGCTGATCGTTTTTCTCATTGTAAACCTTATTTTATTGAGATAAAAATTTTAAATGTATTTGTACTCAACGTTTTAAAAATTTTATGCTTTGTTTATATGTGGAAAAACAATCTATCCCCCCCAGTCTTTAAAGATTTTTTTAGTTTAAAACCCAGCAACAAATATACTCTTAAAAGAAAAAATTTTTTTAACGAACCTTTTTGTCAAACAAATTTTAATCAATTTTGTCTTGCCTATCGTGCACCGCACCTATGGAAATAACTTGTTTTATCTAATGTTGATTTTGATCGACCAAATTCTTTTTGTCTTTTTAAAAACAAAATTAAAAATCTAATTTTTTTCCCTCGATAACATTTTAGAGTACTATTAATTAATTTATCTATTATTTAAATTTTTATTATTTTTTCCCTAATGTTTTGTTGTTAACAACTATTTATATTTAAAGATTTGCTAATGTAAAAGTTCTAAATATATATTTCACTTTACTGTAACGTATACTTTACAAGTTATTCGTAAATTATATTGTTTATAAATGTTTTTTAAGGTTCCGATGATAAGATCTTAGTGATCTTCTTTCGGAAACCTAGTTTACACTGTTATCACGATTTGTATATATATATTTGTAAAGTAATTTTAATAGTTTATTGTATTGTAAAACGACTAACTTTGTAAGCTGAAAAAAAAAAAAAAAAAAAAAAAAAAAAAGACAAATAAAATATTTTACTTGAAATTTTTTATTAGCCTCTATTTCCTATTAGCCCCTTATTACATAAATGCAGTTATAGAAGTATATATGACACACCTCTAATTATGGTATACAAATATTTTTTTTTTCAGGAAATACAATGAACACTCATTAGAAATCAACACAACTTTTATAATTATTTATATTTTATAGATATTTTTTTCATATTTCCTCACACTTATATTTCAATACTTAGAATTTTTCCTGAAAAATTAAAATTTTTAGAGCGATGGAAAAAGATAATGAAAAGCTTTTCACCATTCTAAAATTATGGTAAGTTAAATAAGCTTTTTTATTGTTAAATAATATAGGTTGTCAACTTACATTAATATTTTTGTAAATTTCATTATAGTTACAGTTATGGTCGGATAAAAAGTGGAGACAAATAGAATAATATGGATGGAATTTTTCCATTGGCACCTTCAAAATTACTAAATACCTGACCGTCATTATTCATTGTATTTTTTGAAATGTTTTAGTAATACAAGCTAACACTTCTTTATTTTTTAGTTTTGTAATTGTTTTATAAACCAGCGTCTTTATTTCTTAGGCAACAAGTTAAATTAGTTACACTATAATGTACTACTCTAGTTGTTAAGAAAGGAAGGTGCCAAGTAAAAAGCTAGATATCCCTACTAAGTTCTCATTAAAACTTGCTAACACGGTTAATGGCTGAATAACAACCTTTTTTTTTTTCTTTTTTTTTTCTAGTTTTTTTTTTTTCTTTTTTTTTTTTTTTATTACATTTTAAATAAGCATTTCGTTTCAATATTTAAAATAAAAATAAATACGAATTAAAATATATATATATATATATATATATATATATATATATATATATATATATATATATATATATATACATATATATATATATATATATATATATATATATATATATATATATATATATATATATATATATATATATATATATATATATATATATATATATATATATATATATATATATATATATATAAAATGATCGTTATTAAATAATAATAGAACGCGGGGACTCGTAGGAGACCATACGGTTTGTCGTCGAGTACCGCTAAAAAAATATTCGTGTTAAAATTTATAAGATATTTACAAAATAAAAAATAAGTTAACGAAATAAGAAACTTAAAATATTATTTTATAAATGCAAGATACATTATTACATATTACAGTTGTTAATGATACCTATACAATTTTTATACATTCTTGTTTAAATAGAAGGTAAAAAAGAAAGATCACTAAAAAATATCAAAAGTATATAGTTAAATCTTTGATTTCAAAAATGAGCGTTTCAAAGCTTTCAATTAAAAAAAAAGTTGTCACTTTGATAAATAAAATCCTCAGTAAATTTTTTTTATTCCATAAGAATGGTCCGCAATAATCAATACAAAATTTAAAAAGATTTGTTTGAAAAATGAGCTGCTTAATAAAATTATCATTGCGTAAAATGTATTTATCTTTAACTTTTGATGAATACCATTTATGGAAAGAAATCGGCGATGAACTGGTTTTACATTTAAACATAAAACAAAGTATATTTAAAATATTAAGCTCATATATATTAAAAATTTTCATTTCAAATAATAGAGATTTGGCAAATTTAATTTCTCTGAAAACCTAATTTCTCTAAACTTGGAAAAAACTGAACTCATTTTTTTTTATCTCTAACTCAAAAAGTTTTATACAAATATCATGTAACTAAAATTAAAACTAATAATAGACATTTACATCCAACTCACGTTGTTAAATACTTTGGTGCTTTTGTAGATTCGAACCTTTCATGGAATTTTCATGTAGATGCACTCCGTAAATCAAGCTAATGGCGTGCTCTAAATAAATCGCCATTATGTTGATAAAACTACCCGTAAGAATATGTATTTTGCAAATTTTCAGTCTCATCTTAACTACTGTTGTAATTTTTGGGGACAAATTGGCAACTGTTTTATTAATAAATTGTTATTAGTTCAACGCCAATCAATTCGAGTAATTAATTTTTAACTTCATAATAATGAAGCTTCAAACTTCTACAAAAAACTTAAAACTTCTACTTGTCAGCACTAGTTAAATTTGCTAATCTTCTTTTTGTTTTTGACTCCTTTAATAAAGATTTACCTTCCTCTATTACGACTTTCTTCACTGAAACTCGATTTATTCATTCACATTTAACTAGAAACATCAATAATGGAAAACTAAATGTACCTCCGTATAAAACTTTGAGGTGTGGTAAGTATTCAATTGCACATCAGTGCATCAGTAAATGGAATCGAAGTCTTGTGTGCATTGTGAATGAGTTTAAAAAGTTAAAACTTAAAAATAATTTATCTTCATTGCTTGATTTTAAAACAAAATAAATCTAAACAAATTCTTACAAAATTTAATTTTAATTTTTTATATATTAATAGCTTCCTTTAGTTTTCTCCTTTTTTTTTTTTTTTTTTTTTTTTTATCTTACTATTTCTATAGAAACTTTATTGTCTTTGTCATTATTATTTGTTACTTTCATTACTGCTATTTTTATTATTACTATTATTATTACGATTATTATAAATAAATAAACTTTTGCTGTTACTTTTGCCCTATTAATGAATAAAAATATTATTGTTATAATTATTATTTTTTAAGTTAATATTATTAATATAATTATTAGGTGTCACTCCTTTGATCAGTGATCTGCATGAGTGACTCCTGCCTTAATCAATTATTTATATTTACTCCTAATAATTATAGTTTGATTTTGTTATTTATAATATTATAGATCACTGTTGTAAAAAATGACCAAAAACTACTTTGAGCTGACCCGAGAAAACCGCTTTGACAGGGTGAAACTACAATGTTTCCTGACTCCAAAAATGTAAAATTTGAAATCTAACTATTTCGTCCAAGAAAATAATTTTGATTTTTAGTTTTTAGTACTTTGCACAATAGGGCAAAATGACAGCTTTTCAAATTTTGCATTTTTACAGCATTCAAAAACTCTCTAAAATTAGCATTTATTACTCTAAAACATAACAGTCTATATAGCAAGTATAATTTGAATTTATTTTAACTCAGAAGATAAAATTTTACCTACAATTTCATGGTTGAACTATTCTATAAACATTTTGTTGCATCAAAATTGTAAACAACCTAAAAATTCCGGGAATAGGGAGTGAACATGTTTATTTTAAGTTTTTGCATCAAAATTGTAAACAAGCCAAAAATTCCGGGAATAGGCAGTGAACATGTTTGTTTTAAGTTTTGCATCAAAATTGTAAACAAGCTAAAAATTCCGGGAATTGGCAGTGAACATGTTTATTTAAAGTGTTTCACTTATCAGCTGTGTGAGAAAAATTTCAAAATGCCAAATTTTTCAAAAAATCATGAAGATTGTCGGAAATCTGTCTGTGTCTTGTGTCTGAAGAAGTACTCTCGAGAGTTGACACAGTTCCTTGCTGAAAAGATCCTCAAGCATTACCATGCAAGTCTTGATTTGACTGATACCAGAGTGCCAAGAGGCATTTGTGACTCATGTGGAACAATTCTTCGGAGAAAAGATGAAGGAAAAGATGTTAACCTGCCGCCTTTGTTTCCTTTCTCATCTATAAAAGTTAGACCACCAACAAGAGATCAAGGATGCAACTGTCTTATTTGTCAAGTTGGACATTTGAAGTTGAATGAGAAGAGCCCAGTGGACTATTCTAAACCTGTGAAAGATTGTACCCCTCAAAGATGTGGTGATTGTTTGAGTCTGGTTGGAAGATGTCTGCCACATCAGTGCACTCCATTCACTTTTAGAGAGAATCTCAAGCAGCTAGCTACAGCTGATCCACTCGCTGCAGAGCAAATAGCTACTCAAGTCATCTCTACTAAACCTTCTACACCTGGTGGTACTGTCAAAATATTGCATCCTAAAGGCGGCCCACCACTTAGAGTTAAAACAGGTGATACTTTTATATATACATATAAAGATGGCAGGTTCAGAGGGAATACCTTTAATTTTAAAACTTAAAATTACAAAAAGTGTTAATATAATTTCATTTTTAGGAAGCTCAAGTGCAAGAGCTCTTTTTCCTGAACCCAGCATCAAAACTGAATATCTTGTACAAGTTCAGCTAAACACAGGACTGTCCAACCTTGGCATGAAGAAATTGGCATCAACCATCAACAGAGTCAGTAACACCAAGATTGTGGAGACTAGTTTTCTTGCTAAGTTTGAAGCCATTGGCAAACAGTTGTCTGAGTTTTTTACTCAAATCAGCATCCAAGTTTTATCAGAGAGTAACCACTGACTTTGTGGTTGTGCATTGCAAGGATCTTGCCGAGCTTTTGAATGAAGTCCTGCTTTCTCGAAGAGTTTTCCAGAATCATATTGTCAAGTTGGGAATTGATGGAGGTGGAGGATTTCTGAAAGTTTCTCTTGGCATCATGGAGTTGGATTCTCATTGTGATTCAAGGTCACCACCACAGAAAATACTTTTAACTCAGAGGACTGCCAAAGACAGTAGTGTAAAGCGTCAAATGATTGTGGCTTTATCTGAAGGACTACCAGAAAACTTTGAAAATGTGAGGCAAATCTTTTCTTTAATCAAGTTAGACTAAGTCAACTTTGTTGTCTCATGCGACATGAAACTTGCCAACATCCTTTGTGGCCTTCAGAGCCATGCAAGTACTCACCCTTGATCTTGGTGTAACACAGAATCAAAGCATCTTTCTTAATCAGGATCTTTGAGGACACTAGGCTCACTTGTTGCCTGTTATCAAGAGTTTGCTAAGTCTGGTGGTGATATCAAAAAGGCAAAATCTTTTGGCAATGTAGTGCATGAGCCTTTGCTATCTGGTTCTGAAAACAAACTCATCTTGGAGCTCATACCACCAATGGAACTCCATCTTCTCCTTGGTGTGGTCAATCACATGTACAAAGCAATGACAGAAGTTTGGCCCAATGTTGTCAAGTGGCCCTCAGCTCTCCACATTCAATAAGAACCATTCTATGGTGGGCAGTTTGCAGGGAATGCCTGTCACAAGTTTCTCAGCAATCTTGACCCCCTTCAAAGAATTACAGAGACTGAGTCTGCTTTTTAAGTCTTTGGAATCATTGATGCCTTTCCAAAGTTTAAGTCTGTGGTAATAGCATGTTTTGGTATGGTTCTGGAGGATGACTTTTCTGAAAAAATTGACAAAGAGACTCATATTTGGCAATCATGAACATCAGTGTGACTCCAAAAGTTCATGCTGTTTTCTTCCATGTGAAGCAATTCATTGAGATCAAAAAGGCTTCCTTGGGGATCTTTAGTGAGCAGGCAACAGAATTAAAGCATCATAATTTCAACTTACATTGGCAGAGATACAAAAGAGACCGCAATTATCCTGAGTATGCTAAGATGCTTCTTTCATGTGTTGTGAACTACAACAGCAAGCATTTGTGAAGAATCAAGTATTGAGAAGAATTTATTTTATGTACCATTTGTTCTTTATGTGTTCAGAATCAAGAGGTTGTTTTTGTGTTTTGGCTTAGAATAACTA